TGCTGGGCTCCAGTGATCCTTCCACCTCAGCCTTCCAAGTAGCTGGAACTACAGGCATACACCACCATGCCCAGCTAATTTTGTGATTTATTGTAGAGATGAGGTCTTGCCAAATTGTCCAGGCACCTCAAACCTGTGAACTCAGGCAATCCTCTCACCTTGGCCTCCCAAAATGCTGGGATTATAGGCTTGAGGCATCACACTCAGCCAGTCAATGTTTTTAAAAAAGCTTCCCAGGAAAAATTAGCCGGGCATGGTAGCCTGTATGTAGTTCCAGCTACTTGGAAGGCTGAGGCAGAAGGATCGGCGGAGCCCAGCAGGTCGAGGCTGCAGTGGCCGGGAGCAGGTGACAGAGTGAGACTCCAGCTCAAAAAAACAAAAAAGCTTCCCAGGAGTTAGGAGTGGTGGCTTATGCCTGTAATTCCAGCACTTTGGGAGGTGAGAGGATTGCCTGAGCCCAGGGGTTTGCAACCAGCCTAGGCAACTTGGCGAGACCACATCTCTATAATAAATCACAAAATTAGCCAGGTGTGGTGGTGTGTGCCTTTAGTTCCAGCTACTTGGAAGGCTGAGGCGGAAGGATCACCTGAGCCCAGCAGGTCGAGGCTGCAGTGGGTGTGAGTTTGCCACTGCACTCCAGCCTGGGTGACAATGAAACTCCCACTCAAAAAAAAAAAAAAAAGCTTCTCAGGTAATTTTATTACGGTAAGGATTGAGAACCAAAGTTCTAAAGACTAGAATCTTTCCACATTATAATTTTCTGATTTTGTTGGGCTCATTTAATGCTGTACTGTGTTCGGTTTTATATCCCAGTGGTTAGCATATTGACTGACACATTGTAGACTCTAAATTTGTGTTAGTGACCCTCCCACAGTGGATCACTGAATTAAAAGTTTTATTAACAAACTGTAGCTGGGCGCAGTGGCTCAAGCCTGTAATCCCAGTACTTTGAGAGACTGAGGCAAGAGGATTGCTTGAGCTCAGGGGTTCGAGACCAGACTGAGAAACTTGGTGAGACTTCGTCTCTACAATATATCAAAAAAATTAGCCAGGTGTGGTAGCGTGTGCCTGTGGTTCCAGCCACTTGGAAGGCGGAGGTGGAAGGATCGCCTGAGCCCAGCAGGTAGACGCTGGGGTGGCTGTAAGTGTACCACTGCACTCCAGCCTGGGCAACAGAGTGAGACTTTGACTTAGAACACACATACACACACACAAGCTGTAGTTGGCTGTCTGCCTATCCTTAAATTTCCTGATCACTTTTTCTTGACTCTAAGTTCTCCTGTTTGCTCCTAACCAAGATCTGACTCTCCTCACCACCCCTTTTTTTTTTAAGACTAGTCAATTGCAGTAGTGAGAAGGGGAGAAAGGGTAGAGCAACCGACTGAACAATCAGTTGAGATAACTCAGTACCTTCGGACCAGCCTGACTCTTCCTTTTTCCCCCACAGCTGTCATGGAAATGATGAGCCAGAAGATTCAGCAGCTCACAGCCCTGGGCGCAGCGCAGGCTACCGCTAAGGCCTGAGAGTTCGTCACCGAAATGGGGAAGAGGGACCTTGCTTCTGGGGCCAGGAACTCTGGGCGTGGCCTCCTGGTGTCAGGGCAGAGAAGAGCCTTGTGTTTAATGCCAATAAATGTGCCGGCTGGGCAGAATGCTGGTTTTTCTTGCGTTAAGCAAGGGACTGGCGACGAGATGGGGAGGTGGAGAGTGCTGCCCCGTCCCAGACAGAGCCAGATGAGCAGGGGCGAGGCGGCGCTCGCCTTGGAGCCTCCATCCCGGGTCTCTGGCGCGCCTGGAGGGAAACCTGCGCTGGGCGGCGCGCTGGGCTGGCTGGCCTGCTGCCGTGGGAACGCTCGGAAAGCGGAAGCAGAGGGGCGCGGGTGCTTCCCCTTCCGGGTCGGGGTCCCGCCTCCCTGCCGGGAAGGCGCATGAATCGCCGCTTTCTGCGCGGGGTCCTAGCGCTCTTTCCGGCGCCGCCGCCCCTCCGAACCCGGCACCGCATGCTCAGCCCGGAGTCCATCCCACCCTCCAAACGACCTC